TGTATAAAAAAAAATAAAGGTACTGAACTCTTACACTGGGTACCTAATTTCGCTAATAAAATATTTTTTATTCGAATGCTCTAAAATTCTACTTTCTATTTAAATCTATTCATAGATAAACATTCTTCAATTCTACCAAAGCTCATTCCGAAATTCCGTATATTTCTTGAGATATTCTGAAATCAATTTCAAAAATGACCTACTTTCTTTTACTCGACATTAGCTTGGGCCCCTGGCCATTCACATGTAAACAGATGGTGTTTGAAGTGCGGCGAAGAGTTGCATAGTATTCGCAATATCTTTCAACAATTTAAAGTTGATTTCTTACTCCAGATTGTAATGTTAAGTCCGTGATAATATTCCTTTCGCGAAAAATTAATTCGAAAACGTCTACATCAACAACTACCGCCATGTTGATTATAAATGTGAATGAAGCCATGGTAGAACGAATTTTTCCCGGAATGCATTGTATACCTTTCGATTTTCAAAACTATTAGACCGCTAAAATGTTGTTTATGACTTAGTTACACCATATGATCAAATTAAAGAAAAACCTTGTAAAGCTTGAATGCAAATGAGCAAATATTCATCGAGTTTAGAATAAATTCCGGGGAAAATGTGTCCCCTCGTTCCCGCTTTACAATTAGTGAAGGCCCAAGCTGACGTCGAGTAAAAAAATTATTGTCAATTTGGGAATTGATTTCAGAATATCTCGAGAAGTATAAGGAATTACGGAATGAACTTTGGTAGTAATGAAGATTGTTTATATTTGAATAGATATGGATAGAAAGTAAAATTGTAAAGCATTTGATTTAAAAGAAATTTATTGGCGAAAGTAAGTACCCCATGAAAAGAGTTCCATACCTTTATTTTTTTTTCAACAACTCAATTTTTTTTTCTAAGCGATCTAAAGGCCTGTGGCTGGAAGTAATTTCTGGATTAGCTACTATGGCCAGAATCGGTAAGTTTTTCGCAGTACTTTTTATGCCCCGCCTTAGATAGGAATGAGAGCTAGCTGTTATTTAACTGCGTATACTGTAACGTCAAAAATGTTTGACCTTGAATTTTCTTTTGACCTTGCCCTCACTGTTCTTAAATTTGCATTTTGCTTAGTTTTGGAGAAACCATTTTTAAAGATATATTTATATAAGCTTATGCATGCACTTATACATAATTTAATGATAATTTATCATCTATATCCAATTTTTTAGATTTCGATTTCAATCTAAAGAATCTATCCATAATTTTTATCATCAATTTCATACACTTAATGTAATACCAATTTTTATGTTGCATTATTTTCATATCCTCGGCGGGGTATTTATATCCTATTGACATATTTCTAGTTTTTATATAATACTGAACTACTGAAAAAATTTTAAAATGACAAATCTTCAAAGAAATTTGTACTTTTAATAATAAAACTTTTTTTTTTAACTTGAGATGATTTTCAAAACAAACCGAATTTTTACTCAAAACGGCATATCTTTGCTCAACGCTAGAGTAAAGTTTTATGTACTCTTATTAATTTTCTGATATTTGATGAGCTAGTCCGTGCAAATATAATCAAAGAATGAAAGCTAGATTTCGATTGAATATTTTTGTCGAATAAAGTGGCTTGAACTTGATTGTTTTTTTTTTTTTTTTGAGAAATGAGAATTATTAAAGGACAAGATAGGGTAACAGCCGAATATGGCCCCTTATTTGATGTAAAAATCAGAACACTGGTAGAATTGTGATGGTTTGTAGTTAAGAAGTCAAAATGATCCTTACTTTAATACAAGCCCTAATTTTGATTCAAAACTTACATGGTAGCCACTAGAGGGTGCAGAAATAGGGCATTTGCCAGAATTTCCTCAAGTCAAACATATAATGTAAATAATTAACAGAGTTTATATGTTTGGGGGCTTACTCACATAGATCAATGGTATTATCAGTTATTAAGACCGAATTCAAAAGTAAAACATACATTTCCCTTTGTGGGCCAAGACTTTAGACAATGAAATATGGTAAAAAAAATTATTTGAATTCAAAACATTTTCTATGAAAATAAATCTTATAATTGTGAATGTCTGTATAAATTATTTAAATTTTGTTACCGAAACAAACCAAAACAAACCATTCAGAGGCAATATTTACCCTGGATCGTCTCCAGGAGCCGATCCAGGATTGAGTTCCATCTCAGTCAAAAAATTTTCAAACCAAGAAATTTCTGGACAAAAAACAACCGTAAACTCATTTCTTGCAATCGTAAAAAACCTATTTCATTGCATGGGGGTGGGGGGGCTTTTAAACCTCCATACCTATGACTTTTCTAACCATTTTTACTTAGATCCGCGTGTCCAGGGGAGGGGTCGGCGTTTCTTCGGGAGGGGGGTCTAAGATCACTTTTACTAGGTTTAACATATACTCATTACTCTGCAATTCAAGTTATGGTCCGGACCCTCCCCCCTCTAGATCCGCGAATGGTCTGTCATCTTATTTTATCAAGTACTTTCACAACTTCACATTATATTGCTATATGCGCAATATTACGGTATCTCTACAGACACCAGACGTGACTTATTTTTCTTTTAATAAAAATATACCCCTACTATTATTAAGTATGGGTATATGTTATATTGAAAGAAAAATAAGTAACGTCAGCTGCCTGTGGGTATCTCTTGTACCACTAAATATTGGTGTAAGGGTAATAAATGAACTTAAGTTGGCGGTTGGATATAAATTGTTCAAAGAAGGATAACTACAGCTTTTAAAATGTGTCTTTTTCAGGACTCAATCTTAGGGAGTTAAAATAGTCATATAATTTTTACACTTCCCGGATCTATCGCCTGTATCGATAGATCTGGGGCGTATGAGATCGCGGAACATTAGATATAAATAAATTAAAATTTAAGGTAAATATATGTATATCTTTGTGTTGGTGTGTGTAGGTGGGGGGGGGGGGTTGAACGATTTTTTAATGAAGTTGTCCAACAGTTTTCAGTGAGAATAAGTATAAAACTCATACACTCTTATAATCCTAGAAATGAAATATATTGTCTTGTTAAGCCATGACTCGACACTTTTTTTTACACCCCCCTCTTTCTAGAATCAAATATCTCCTGAAAAATAATCTTTGTCTTCTATGATCTTTCGCGTTCTCGAAATTATAAGCTACATGTAAAACTCATATTAATGTGAACTTCAAACAATATGTATTTGGGAATTGAAATAAGTTGATTTTTGGATCATACATTCACTCTTTGCTTTGAAAACAGCTGATGTACGTGGGTTGAAAATGAATTTCGATCTGCAATTTCAATCCGATGTTTTCCCTAGCCTGTTTCCCTGGCCTACCCACAATGCTCCGCAAAAGGGGAAACAGGCTAATGTTTTCCCCACGTCCGCGTCGAATTGTACCCTACCATTTCCCCGCTTAAAACCCGCTTAAAACTGACATCAACAGTATACAAGAAATATTTCCTATACTGCGATTGGTATAGTACATCATCCGACTATGCTTTACTCGCATTGGTCAATATTTTAATGAGCTACGAAGAATTCTCTCCTCGTTCAACCACGGCCAGAAAGGGAGAGGCCGTGGTTTGCGACGATGACAATTTTTTAACAGACACATAAACTTCAGTTTTTGTCCCCCGCTTGAAAAGTGGGGGATATTAATTTGGGTTTGTCCGTCCGTCCGTCCGTCCGTCTGTTCTTACGAGAGGTACATTGTGGGGTAAAATTAACGTATTTTCCAGCAGTGTGGGGTTTTTTGGGTACTGTGGGGTTAACCCCATAATGAAGAGGTCTAATTACGTTCAAAATTACTCTATGAGGTCGAAAAACCTAAAATTAGATTTAACCTCACAAAGACTTTGTCCAAATTTTGGACATGTCCTTAGCCCAAAACGCTCAGACATTCAGAAATCTGCTGTTTAGAGGAGTTCGGTAATTGAATCGAGGAGTTCCGAATACCTGAGCATGCGCATATATTTAAAACTAACTGCGCATGCGCAGAATACGGAAGTAGCTGTGTTTGGATTAGCAGTGAGGAAATTCGGAAACACAAAAAGCAAATGCAGTAAGTCTTACTATTTTGTTGCACCACATTGAAAAAAAGCTTTGTAAGTTGTTTAATATGATTCATACGTACATTATGCAGTTGTAGAATTTATTTAAAGTCAAGGAAAGGACACTTGTAGTCCACATAAACACATACCGATTGAAAACGGGCTTTTGTGAAAAAAATTATAATGAATGCACTGATAGTTCTTTTTTTAATCAGAGGTCTGCAATGAAAATCGACCGATACCCGGGGGTCGGGCTAGTGGTTTTCTGCAAGAAGGTCGCCCCGTTGGCCAGTAAAAAAAGATAATATTATTCATACACATGCAATACATGCAAAGCACACCTGGTACGTATTTTCACTCGTTTTTTGCAACAAAAATCCAAACCATTTAAATTTTCCATATAACATGCTCCAACTGTCAATAAATCTCCATAATTTAATCCGTGTTGGAGTACTACTTGGCTTATTTACTTCAAAAAACGATCGTGTTTTTTTCTTAATTCGAATTTTCTCTATATCTATGGTAATTACATGCAGATATCTCATAACATAAATACATGTGATTCTTCCGACGGGAGACAAAATCTCTGGATTTTTCACGCCTCTTCCGCCCCTTCCGATTAATTTTTAAATCATCCGTGTTTAAATTTTTTCAAATTGAATATTTTTGGCTTTAATTTTATCCTGTTTCGTAGTATAATTGCTCTCTCTCTCTCTCTCTCAATTCATTCTAGATACGTACCAATTGTTTATCTACTCTTCACACATTTGTTTACATGTTCTTGTAATCGTACCTTAATCTATAGAGAAAAAATCAGAATGGAAAAATGGAATTAATGTCACTGCAATAAATTTTCGCATCAAGTAGGCTTCGTAGGAATCAACATGGGGTTGTATAATTAGGTTGTAAAATTTAGTGGTATATCAATTTGATAAATGACAATCAATGTTTATTATTTAAAATGAGTGTAGGACATTTTAATCAGTTGTTAAAATACCCAATATGTCACATTGCTTACACAGTCGCTTGTGTAATTATGTGCCGGATAAAAAAAATTCACCTATTATAGAAATTAGACAAATTACCTTTAGATACGTATATATAACTCTCTTTGTGTTAATGGAAAAAATATAATTGTCCTGTAAGATCAATTTGTACTTATTTTTCAAGATCGACCATTGAAAATTTAAAAGAATTAAATCACAATTAATAGTTTTTCTATATCTAAACTTAAAGAAATTCAAGGTTAAAGCTTCATTTTGTAATTTACAATATTAATTCATCATTACTTTGAAAATTTACAGTGAGAGTATGTAACTTAGCTAATACAGGTCTATCAGTATTTTCACACCTGTTAGATTTTGATTCCGTGTAGAAGCTCTAATTGCAACTCTTGTCAAAACAAATGATTTGTATAGCATGATTATCTCGTGAATTTCACCATCAGGAGACGATCGATAGGGATTAGTTACGCTCTGCTGCACTTGACACCTGTGTTGTAGTAGAATGATTTTAAACTGCGTTAATACAAATCTTTGGTCAATTGAATAATTTTTTGTGTGTGTCTGTATGTTAGATAGAAATTCCGACAGCTTTTTAAAAATAATATTAAAAATTTACCAGACTTTAAAAACTTCAGCAAAGTAGTTGATCGAGGATTAATTGAAAGGGGGGGGGGGTACACTGCTGATCATTACCTGAACATATTAAAGTGAAGTTTTTAAATAAATTTTATTGACACTTACTGAAATAAATTTTTATACTTTATTTAATTCACCATTAAACTGTCTTTTAATTAAAGCTTTTATATTTTTTATTATTAAAAAATAGATAGTAGTAAGGCACATGTATTTCTTCTTGAATGGTTTGAATGTTACAAAAGAACACTCAGAGTTCCCGAAACTAGTCAAAAATATGTCGGACAATTGTCTTGTAAATATTTAAAATTCACCGGACAGTTGTAAAATTTACCGGACATTAATTTTTTGTATGTAAATTTAACATATTATAGGATTGGAAATTGTAACGATATAATAAATGATATGTGTAAATAAAAAGATGGCAGATTTAAAAAAAAAAATTATTGAAATATTTTGTATAAGGCCTGTGTATGCAGGGTTTGACGTCGCCGAAGGCGTGTGATGACCAACGCTTAATTCATCGTATAAATTTATTATGTCCTTTCTGACAGATTTTTAAAATGTTTTTAAAAATAAAATCTGCAACATGACAACTCTTGGTTGATTGTTTGGAAAATATGTTGTTTTCCAGGCTTATTTCTTTTGGATTTTTGTATTTTATGTGCCAGGAAAAATATTACGTAAAATATCAAACTCGTTTTAAAAAGCCTGGTAAAACGCCCGATATTTCTGACTAGTTAAAATTTATTATACAACCTCCACACAGTTAAAAATATGTACTAATGATATAAAGATATGCAAATTTATCATGAAAATGATGATTTTAAGTGAATTTGTTGTCGTTTTACTACATTCAAGTCAATCCGCTATTTTTAGAAAAGGGGAAAAACGCGCTTGTATTTTAAATGCTATCAAATACATTAAAAAAAATACAGAAGTTGGTATAATATTATCATGCTAATAGATTAAATTATAGAGAAAATAATAAATGGTAACAAATTGTCTGTAATCAAGCAGAAATAGCAGGCACTCTTGCAACCCTGCAAATTCGTCCTTCAAAACGAAAGTAGATTGTCACATTTTTTTTACTGTCAGAACTACAGGGTGCATATATTTATCAGGGAAAATATTTGTTGACAGTGTTTTTAAAACTGTTTTTCCTCCCAGACTTATGGAAATTATTATTTTAATATGTAGCTTTTTATAGTAGACAATCAACGTCTACATTTTATTTAAACAAGATCTGGCGATGCCCTGACGTTTTTTTTTTTCATTCCTTTAGTTTTTCATTTGTTTATTGTCAGGACAATTGAATTAAATGATTTTGTTAAAATTATATGTAAAGGTTATACAGTTTGTAAAAAAAAAAAAAAAAACCATCGGACATTTTGACCAATAAAATTAAGATTTTACCGGTCCCATTCAAAGTTCACCGGGGATCCCCGGTGGACCGGTGCGTTTCTGGAACTCTGAACACTTATGAACTGTTTTGTAGGAACAGAAAAATGCACAAACCTTAAAAATTTAATTTGGAATTCTTTAATTTCATATTTTTTTTAAATAGGCATGGATTAATATATGTATACACACATACAAAGGTTTTGTGAAATTGACATGTTTAATTAAATCAACTGTAGTGGTTATTGCTGTTTATTTATTGACTGACTGGCTACTTCTTGGGCAAACTGGAATAAGAGGCCACCTGTGTTAAGTGGCTAGTTTCTGGACTTCCCAAAGCTTAAAACAAGTTTGACTGTACTTTTTCACCTTTTACCAATATAAGAAAGTAGTTCACAGTACATGACAACTATGCTTTAAATAAATTTCGATGAATTTTAATTTAATAGTAACTCGGAATTTTTGTATGTGATATAAATAAACATTTGCTTCTTTATTCCTTTGTAGAGTTCAGATACTGAAAGTGAACATAAGTGGAACTTTGATGATCTAGGCCGCTCTATTTTTGCAGCAACACCAGCAGGCGTCGGACATTCATAAAGTTGAAAGAACAAACCTATGACTTGAACACACAATTTGTGATCTGAATATAGTTCACAAATTTAAGGAAAGCAACTATCAAAGACATTCAGATTGATGGTTAGTACATGTTATAAGTGCCCATAAAATCAAGACAACAATATTATTTTACAATAAATTAAAACATAACCTGTCAGGGGCTGACAAATGGATTTTTAAGGCACTTGCCCAAAGGCAAGTACATGGTCAAAATTCACTTGCCCTACCTGAATTTTTGCCTGCCCTACCATTAAATTATACTGTTATTAAAAATTTATATATAAAAAATATTGAGTAGAACATTGGCATAGATATTGATTTTAGTTTTGATAATTGATTAAGTCACTTGCCCACGGGCAAGTGGTTGATAAAATTTCACTTGCCCAACCCTAAAATTCACTAGCCCCGGGCGTCAGGCAATGGGATTTGTCATCCCCTGCCTGTAAAAAAAAAATTGAACATTATCATTTAGAAATATATTTTACTGTATTTTTTTTTGACAGGTATACATGAAGTATGAATGAAAGACTTTTCAGAAGAACAAGCACAATCCGGATTCATTCTTGCCATTGTCTTCTCCAGACGGCGACATTTAGGACCTGACTTACTTTTCAGAAAAAGAAGATGAATCGATTTTTGATAGTTGATCTTAAAAAGATAACATTTTCAGGGGTCGTGGATTCAGTGACATTTTCTTGATGGGCAACTTGTTTCAAGTATTTGGATGTCTATTCTCAAGTTACTGCAAACCTTAAATTAACTTCTTGATTATTAGTTAAATGTGAGACCGTTTCTTACTTGAAGTAATCATTTTTTGAATTGAGCTATGTAATCTCTGATTACTTATGTTTATGAGTAGTGTTCAGCTTTAAGACAAAAGGATCTTTTATGAACACTGCATTCGTCATGGTGAATTTCTATACATTAAGAAACAGTCATAGTTTTCGTCTTTTTTAATTAGCGATCTCATTTTAAATGTGAGAAATAATTATGAAACTGAAATGTACATTTATGTTGTTTGATTTTTATTTTTTTGAAAATTGTTAATCAATTGCCTGTTGTTGTTTTTTTTTCATTTTATTTTAGGGGATGGGAGTGGGGGTGCAGCTGTAAGTTTGAGTATATTTTCCAAAAGGATGTACATCGTTATTTTTGTTTTAATATCAATTTTAAAATGCAAAATGATGAGATATTAGACTACACATTTTTTCTTAAAACTTCATTTAAATTAATATATTTTGTTTAAAATAAGTAGCAACAACATGCAAGTTTTACAGTTATTTGACAACTCACTATATACTTGTTTTTTACATTTATGAAGATTGTCTCAAATTTTGAGGGTTTTTTTCTGTGTTCTACATTTATTGACATGTTTCTTATCTGTGTTCATCTTGTCGAGTAACTGAAAAGTTTGATTAAATCTTTTTTTAAAAAATCAGGGTAATCTCTTTTATTTATTATTATTAATTTACAATGAAATTATGTATGCTTTTGATGCATAATGTACACTTCAAATTCATGCACCAGCAGATTCAAAGGAAAAATTCCCATTAGAAAAAACAGTTCAGACAAATTTTCAAGTATGTTATCAAAATAGGAAAAAGTATTATGAGTATAGTTTGGTATTTTTAATAGTAAAAAAAAAAAGGATATGACGTACTGGCAATTGTATCATCTCACTCAGGGTCTTTCCGTCAGAGTTCGGAAAAACAACCTCGAATGTATTAACATCACCTGATGTTAAAGGTTATGTTTTTCTTGTTTTTCAAATTTTCGATAGAGGAAGTAAGAAGTCCCTTTTATAGTAAGTTTTATGTAATATCATAGCATTGAATAAAATTAAACTCCATATTCCACAGATAAACGGTCTTCATGCATTTATTTCGAAGATCATGAAAAGGGGGGGGGGTTGTTGCCATGGCGTCTAACTAATACATTCGAGGTCATTTGTCAGCTAGTCAGAAAGGCTCGAGAAGTTGCGATTGAACATAGTGGGGGTTTTTGTTCTTTTATTACCAGTCCCTGGTAGAGTTTTTTTGATATTAGAACATACTGGGGTTTTCAAACATGCACTTAAATTCATATGGTTACTGGTATCTGTTACATGAGAATACAGCGGGGTTGTTTGTTTAACACTCTGAGGTTACTAAGATGTCTAATATTTTCTATCAGAACATATTGTGGTTCTTGTCTAACACTTTGTGGGGTTAATGTTATCTTTTATCTATATAAGAACATAATGGGGTTGTTACACATTATGGGGTTAGTGTTGTCTATTATCTTTATAAGAGTACTTAGTGGGGTTGTTGTCCTAACACTTTATGGGGTTAGTGTTGTCTATTATCTTTATGAGAGTACATAGTGGGGTTGCTGTCCAAACACTTTATGGGGTTAGTGTTGTCTTTTATCTTTATAACAGTACATAGTGGGATTGCTGACCAAACACTTTATGGGGTTAGTGTTGTCTATTATCTTTATGAAAGTACATAGTGGGGTTGCTGTCCAAACACTTTATGGGGTTTGTGTTGTCTATTATCTTTATGATAGTACATAGTGGGGTTGCTGTCCAAACACTTTATGGGGTGAGTGTTGTCTATTATCTTTATGATAGTACATAGTGGGGTTGCTGTCCAAACACTTTATGGGGTTAGTGTTGTCTATTATCTTTATGAAAGTACATAGTCGGGTTGCTGTCCAAACACTTTATGGGGTTAGTGTTGTCTATTATCTTTATGAGAGTACATAGTGGGGTTGTTGTCCAAACACTTTATGGGGTTAGTGTTGTCTTTTATCTTTATGAGTGTACATAGTGGGGTTGCTGTCCAAACACTTTATGGGGTTAGTGTTGTCTATTATCTTTATGAGAGTACATAGTGGGGTTGTTGTCCAAACACTTTATGGGGTTAGTGTTGTCTTTTATCTTTATGAGTGTACATAGTGGGGTTGTTGTCCAAACACATTATGGGGTTAGTGTTGTCTATTATCTTTATGATAGTACATAGTGGGGTTGCTGTCCAAACACTTTATGGGGTTAGTGTTGTCTATTATCTTTATGAGAGTACATAGTGGGGTTGCTGTCCAAACACTTTATGGGGTTAGTGTTGTCTATTATCTTTATGATAGTACATAGTGGGGTTGCTGTCCAAACACTTTATGGGGTTAGTGTTGTCTATTATCTTTATAAGAATACATAGTGGGGTTGTTGTCCAAACACTTAATGGGGTTAGTGTTGTCTATTATCTTTATAAGAGTACACACTGGGGTTGTTTGTCTTATAATTTATGGGGTTAGTGTTGTCTGTTATTTCTATATAGCATAGTGGGGTTGTTTGTTTAACACTCTCTGGAATATTCTTGTCTATCATCTTTATGTGAAAACATGATGGGTTAATTTACTTTGATGCAACAGTTATCCTCAAATAAAACATTTTTTTGCATTGTTACTGCTAGGTAGTAGTTGAAAAAAAGTTATTGCAATATCCGTTCTAAGTTCTTCAGATAAACAGTAACAATTTTAAGTACTTATAATTAGTTGCCCGTAAAGTTGACTTGATATTAAATAATTTATTTTTAACCCCACAAATATAGATCTTTAACCCCACAAATATAGATCTTTAACCCCACAAATATAGACCTTTAACCCCACAATATACCATTTGTTTGAATTCCTAATGAAACCTCTCAAGTCACCACTGTACTATTAATAACCCCACAAAGCAAAATTATAACCCCGCACCTTCCGTAAAATGCACAATGTACCTCTCAACTGTATAGCTGTCCGTCCGTCCGTCCGTCTTTCTGTCTGTCTGTAACGCTTTCGTTTCCACACGATATCTCGAGAACCCTTTGAGCTTTTGCAATGAAATTTAGCATAGCAACTCCCTATGGACTAAAGAAGACCCCTATTGATTTTGAGGTCAAAAGGTCAAAGGTCAAGGTCATAAATAAGCAAATTCTGTCTGTTAAAACACTTTCGTTTCCACACGATATCTCGAGAACCATTTGAGCTATTGCAATGAAATTTTATATAACAACTCCCTGTGGCCTATTGAAGACCCCTATTGATTTTGAGGTCAAAAGGTCAAAGTTCAAGGTCGTAAATTTATACATTCTGTCTGTATGTAAAACTATCATTTCCGGGCGATATTTCAAGAAGATTTTGAGCTTATGCAATGTAATTTTATACCAAAACTCCTAGGACGTCTCTCGCCCCTCTCAAAGTGCCCCGCCCCGTTTGTTTTATTAGTATTTATAGTATTACATGTCGCTATTTTTAGCGCAGGGGCATGAGGAGAGTTATTGCGTATAAAACAGGTTCTCGGCGGACATTATGTTCTTATTACATCTATTAGAACTGTTTAATAAAGGCTAAATAAATCAAACACCATGGATTGTGTAAAATTTTGAGAATACCGAACATGAAAACATGAATATATACATGTATGTGACTTCAATTCTGCATATACTTCACAGCGCGTAAAACGATTCCGTGGTCTAGTGGTTATGTCTCTCGCTTCAAATGTGAGAGGTCCCGGGATCGAATCTCGGTCGATCCTTTTTTTTTTTTTTTTTTTTTTTTTAAATACTTTTTTTTTTTTACTAAATGATAGTATTCAGCATGTGAAATGAAAAATTTATGAGGTTATAAAATCATCATTACAGTGTGATAAACATTCCATATAAAAAAATCTTCTATACACATAATAAAGAATAAGCAATCAAATCTTTATATGCATATTGACATACATGTATTTTATTTGCTTCAGTATACATGTATACATTTAATAATTCTACAAATTCAGTCAGGGGGAGCCGACTTTTTCCCTAAGCGGGGGACACGAATTCTCTGAATTAGCTTGTTGGTCTTAGTAGTAAAATCTTTTTCAAAACGGACCGCAGGCCTTAAGGTACACTGTACATGTATGCTTTTAAAAGGGAACACCACCGATAATAAAACAAACAAACAAACAAAAATCCCAAAAGAATAATATTTATTTTCTGATGGTACATGTACAGGGTGTCCCAAAACATATGTTGCACTTTTAATCATCTATAACTTTATCAAACAACAAGCATTCACAAAGATATTTTGTGTATTCGAATACATTTTATCTGACAAACTTTCATGAAATTCTGTTAAGAATTCAGGTAATTATGATGTCAAAATGACGTCATCATATTTTTAATATGAAACCTTCATGAGACCAGCTGATACAAATTGTCAAACTTTAATATGGGTGTAAATCTGCTACTTTAGTCATTAGATCCATGAGAAAACGACATCCTGTAATGAATGTGCCCAACAGAATGCTACATATGTATATATTTTACAGATTTGTGAGGAAGTTTGAAGTTAAAGGCACCATAAATGACACATAACTTAATTCTGGTATAATGGTATTAGAAGACCAAGGAGTGCCCGTACCAAAGAGAACATTAATACCATTAATAGAGTTATTACTCTACTGAAACTTTATTTTAAAAAATCCCTTAGACGGGGCCTGCATGTACAAGATAGCACCTTTGATAAATCCCGCGTTCATACAATACTCGAATTCAATTTAAAACCGATTTCTCATAAGATTATTTTAATGCAGCATTTGAAAGAGAGAGAAATTACAGGTTGATTAGAGTTTGCCCATTGGATTTTAATTAGACCCGACTCATAAATTTTAACAGATGCATCGTTTTCCGACGAAGCCCACTTCCATTTTAGCAGTGTTGTTAAAGAGAATCTTTAAATTCTATTGTTTGGTGAAACTCAATTTTAATGTGGAAAAACCTCTAAACTGTTAGGATGTTACATTTAAAACTTGGTAAAAAAAAAAAAAAAAAAAACTTCAGAAATGGTGTTCCAACAATGTTAATTCCAAGGGACGTAATTTGGAATATGCTGTAAAATGACCTATGTTATTCTAAAGAAAAAATATTTATGATTACAGGAAACTGTAAAAAATGAATGCTTGACAAAAAATTATAATAATTTTAGTATATATTCTAAATTTCATTTATATAACTTGAGGCATTAAATTTTTATAACGGTTTTAAAGTGTAACATATGTTTTGGGACACCCTGTACATGGTTGTTTGCTCTGAACACATTTCATAATGCCACTCAAAATTTATATAATTTTTCTGAGGTAAATTGATAAGTGAAATCAATAAAATTTAATTTAATGTGTCACCTATGTCAATACGTTTATACACACTGTGTCCCACGATAAATAAAAGATTAACTAATTGTATGTAGTTAAGAAAATGTCTTTGTTTGCTAGTTATGCTTTGAAACTGATACATGTAAGTAAAATGTCAAGTACATGTTTTAATATTTGGTGCCGACTAGATAATTTACAGGATTCTCCAGGTTCCTCAAACTAAGAAATGCGAACGATAGTACTGTTCTCCCGCCTACTTCCAAGTCAATTTTCAAAAAGTTTTTAAAAAATATTTTATAGACATTGATTTTTTTGGGAAAACAAAGAGAGATAACTATAATTTTGGTAAAACTTGTGTTTTTTACTATAAAAATCAACAGAAAATATTTTTACATCCCCCCCGGGGGGGGAGGGGGGTAAAAAGATTTTCTGCTTACAGACAAAAAACGACAAAAATGTTTTTTTTTTCCAATTTCATAATAATTAATTACAACAGAAACATTATATTTATTAATTGTGTAAAGCATAAGGAAAGATTTGTGGAATATTTAATTATATCAAAGACTATTTCAAGATATGGTGATGCTTGAAAGTCCGATTTCAATGGAAAATAACGTCTATCCCATTTTTTTCAAGAGCTAGAATTAGGGATAATTTACTTTTAGCCCTGGTATTAAAATAATTTATCAATTACCATTGAACTGTTCTTTGTATTAAACAAAGATTTTATTACCAAAGTGCCATTCATATTGAATCAAATGGGTGCAAAATGTAGGCGGGAATCGAGAGTTACCATGCGTAGTTAGACCTCAATAACCCCTTTATTGCTAAAAGTCCCCCCATTGTCTTTGTTGATGCTATCCTCCACCATTTCACACAGACAAGCTCTGTCGTTCCTGGTCCTATGACGTTTACTGGCACTCTCCGGTAAAGAAGTCCACTTTATTAAGCCATTTCTCTGTTGAAGATACTCCAACTGCCGTTCAATCAAGTAATCGGCAGTTTCCTGATACAAAAAAAAAAGAACGTAAAGGAAATGCTCTAAATTCCATTAAAACCGCCAAATTGAAAAGAATATATCACTTTGTGTCAAAGTGAACATAGCTTTTCATACCTTTATATCGTTTTCATTCATTCTAGGTCTCTTTTTCTTCAGCATCACACAAACATAATTCTACAAGAATGTGTATCGTAAGTGTATGTAATAGTTTTGAGACAAATAGTTTTTTTTTTCCTAAATCGATGAGTTTCGATTATAGTTTGCACTATTTTACTTACTCTGCATTCATTGGTATCATACTTAAAAATGTTCAGCTGATGAAAGATGAAGGCAAAATAATTAATACACATTGTATTATATCATGTTACATATATAAACAAGTTCTAGTTTTCGTCAAGTTTTGTCAAGGATACAGTGGGTTTGGAGACGATGCTGTCATCATAGAAGATCAAACATTTACTTTTCTGGTAGAACTTCACATTCAAACGAAACACGATGGTGTGAACCGATGATGACAACTACAAATAATTCTATTAGATACATATATACATGTATTACATTTAAATTGTCATTTTAAATTACTTGGTATCAAATTACTTTTATTTACAGTTGACAAATCAATCTGACATATTTTTATCAATCAAAGCACTGTAATTTTTTTTACTGTACATGTATTTGCATTTTTTCATTCTTACATAAATTACAAAGGATAAACATTTTCAGACAAAAGGCGCATGGGCCACATCGATCATCTGATGCAATGTTCACACGGAGAGTTTAATTCGCAGTAAATTAATGCAAAGTAAACTAATGCAAAGATAGGTATCATTCACATTATCCAGCGATGGGGTATACGATGAGAAACCGAATCGATGCATTTTTTGATGAAAATGGCGTGGTTGCCGGCCGGGCACCACTAGTGATCGGAAGGTGACTGAGGCCATTTTGCGAATCGGTGGGGTCATCGGTAGAAAATAATTCGAAGTTAAAATTCAGCGATGTCTCCAACGATGCCTCACATCGCTCCTCATCGGCAACCAATCATTAACACATCTTTCACGTATCGGCCGATGTATGGCCGAGTATCGTCCAATATCCGTTGAATCTGAGGTCATCAGGGGGTTGAGTGGTGTCCAACAGATAACGGCCGATCATCTGTCGATGTTCGACCAAACATTGGCCCGTAGTCAACCGATGTTCGAACGATGTTCACCAATGTATGAGCGATGTAATATACATCGGCCGATTATCCTGGAACACCAGTTTTTGATTAGCAATGCTTCGCTGGGCCTTTGAAAGTCCAGCCGGCAACCACGCCATTTTTATCATAAAAGGCATTGGTTGAATATCGAATACCCATCGCTGGATAATGTGACTGATTCTGAAAGGACTACTAAGCCGATGTGGACCGATGATAGGGCATCGTTAACACCACGGATTACCAACGATTACCACCGATCTACGGCTACCGGCCGGAAAATGTGACCTAGGCATAAAATATTGCGAATTAAATTGCGTTAACACGACATCTAAAGCGAAGTAAACTAATGCGAAGTTAGAATAGAAGATCTAGTTCGAAAACTAGAGCTCCGTGGGGATCCGGGTTAGAATAGGTCCTCAGTACCCCCTTGTTTGTCGTAAAATGGGACTAAATGGGGCGGTCCTTCGGATGAGACCGTATAAACCGAGGCCCCGTGTCACAGCAGGTGTGGCACGATAAAGATCCCTCCCTGGTGAAAGGCCGTAAGTGCCGAGGATAGGCCTTTTGCAGCCCTCCACCGGCAATGGTGACGTTTCCATATCAGTGAAACATTATGGAGAGGGACGTTAAACAGTATACAATCAATCAATCAATCAATCAATCGAAAACTAGAACGACAGCTAAAGCGAAATATTTACATTTGCAAATGTTTTTAGCTCACCTGAGCCGAAGGCTCAAGTGAGCTTTTCTGATCAAAATTTGTCCGTCGTCTGTCGTTGGCGTTGTCGTTGTTGGCGTTGTCGTTGTCGTTGTCGTAAACTTTTCACATTTTCATCCTCTTCTCAAGAACCACTGGGCCAATTTCAACCAAACTTGGCACAAAGTATCCTTGGGTAAAGGGGATTCAAGATTGTTCAAATGAAGGGCCACGCCCTCTTCCAAGGGAAGATAATTATGAATAAGTGAAAAATAAATAGCATTTTCAAAAAATCTTCTTCTCAAAAACCACTGGGCCAGGAAAAATGAAACTCATGTGGAATCATCCTCAGGTAGTGTAGATTCAAGTTTGTTTAAATCATGACCCCCGGGGCTAGGGTGGGGCCAAAATGGCCGACCAAAGTTTTACATAGGAATATGTAGGAAAAATCTTTTAAAATCTTCTTCTTAAGAACCACTGGGCCAGGAAATATGAAATTCATGTGGAATCATCCTCTGGTAGTGTAGATTCAAATTTGTTCAAATCATGACCCCCGGGGCTAGGGTGGGGCCAAAATGGCCAAACAAAGTTTAACGTAGGAATATATAGGAAAAATCTTTTAAAAATCTTCTTTTCAAGAACCACTGGAATAAGAAAAATGAAACTCATGTGGAATCATCCTCAGGTAGCGTTAATTCAAATTTGTTCAAATCATGACCCCCGGGGCTAGGGTGGGGCCAAAATGGCCGACCAAAGTTACATAGAAATTCATAGAAAAAATCTTTTAAAATCTTCTTCTTCTTCTTAAGAACCACTAGGCCAGGAAAGATGAAACTCATGTGGAATCATCCTCAGGTAGTGTGAATTCAAGTTTGTTCAAATCATGACCCCCGGGGCTAGGGTGGGGCCAAAATGGCCAACCAAAGTTTTACATAGGAAAATATATGAAAAATCTTTTGAAAATCTTCTTCTTAAGAATCATTGAGAAAGGAAAGATGAAACTTAAATGAAATTATCCTCAGGTAGTGTAGATTCAAGTTTGTTCAAATCATGACCCCCGGGGCTAGGGTGGGGCCAAAATGGCTGACCAAAGTTTTACATAGGAATATATAGGAAAAACTTTAAAAATTTTCTTCTCAAGAACCTTTGGGCCAGGAAAGACGAAACTTATGTGGAATCATCCTCAGTTAGTGAAGATTCAAGCTTGTTCAAATCATGACCTGTGGGGCTAGTTTTGGGCCGAAAATGGCTGACCAAAGTTGTACATAAGGATATATAGAGAAACCTTTTAAAATCTTCTTTTCAAGTACTTCAAAGCCATGATTAGTGATATTTTTCTATTTATATGGAATCATCCTCAGGTAGTGTAGATTCTACATTGTTCAAATCATGACACCTAGGAGGGTTAAAATTCAAGCCCCCCCCCCGCGCCAGTAAACTTTCAGTTTGATCTGATATGTGCTTTTTCCTAGTAGATGTGCTCAGGTGAGCGATGTGGCCCTTGGGCCTCTTTTCCTTTATGGGTCATTTTCAAAAAAAGTCTACTTTTTTGTCTTTTGATCAGAAAAATAGAAAAACATTTTTTAGAGTGAAAGTTTTTTCCCGTTGGTTAATATACATGGTCATACAGCTTATAAGTTATTTTAATGATCATCTCCCAGGTGTTTTATAAAAAATATTCTATGCATTCCAAGTAAAATTTAACAGTAAAATCATGTCACATTAACAAAAATTTTATAGTGGGCTTATTCAAATGATAGGGAAAATATAACCCTGTGAAGATATGTACAAATTTTGCACCTCATATTAATTGAATTCATTTACAGATTAATTTAATATGATTGTTTTACTTATGCCGCCCACTAAATACTAGTATCGTGCATTTAACATTCAGGAAGTGACATGTCCCACCAGTTTATGTCATTCCTGTTATCAGAAAGAAAATTTTAAAATAAAAGTAATCTCACTTTCCTAGGAACTGTTTTCATGATCCACAATATATCATCATTTTCTGTTGTCTCAAGTTTATGAGCGCCTTGATTTGAAAGTGAGTAAAGAAAGGGTTTAAAGGTCGATAAGTTTGTCTTATTGGTAGAGTATAATGAAAATATGTCCTATCTGTTACCTTCATAATATGCAAGTACTCTTTAAATTGTTTATTCTGCTAAAACAATCAGATTAACTAACTTACAAAGAAACTGTTTCAATGTCTCGATGATGCAAAAAGAGTACGTTATACTAAATAACGGGTGATTTATATGAGAAACGTCCATCCTGTTACTGTCATTCCTGTTACCATTAATATGGTAACAGTAAGGAAAACTGGACTTCATATCTTGAGTTTTAACAATAAAAACAATTACTTTTATTTTTCTAAGTAATATAACTTTAATAACACATGTTAAAAAACTTCGTAAATCATTTTGAAATAAGTTAGTGCTTCAAATAGTGCCATTATAACTTAAACATGCACTCTTGTAACAGAATGGACAGAAATTGTAACAGGAGGGACAAATTATCCTGGTATTTATATACCTATTTAAGTTTCATCATTTGTTTTTCTTAAAATTATGAAAAATTCTTAGTTTTGCAACAGCATAGAGTACCTTTAATAAACAAAAATTGAACTGATAAATATTTTAATAGCATTTTACAATTAAATTTCGTAACAGGATGGACATAAATGTCTTTTATTGTCTCAAATTTGCCAGATTTGACAAAATCATGTTTTTATTCAACATTTATATCTCTTTTCCTAACCAATAAAGTTTTAAAAAGTCAATTTTTATTTAAAATGTAGATTTCATTGTCCATCCTGTTACACTGTTTTGTCCATCCTGTTACTGTTTTGTCCTTCCAGTTACCCGAGTCCTTACTGTTACCAGTATATTTTCCTGGTTTAAATTGCTTTGGCAGAGCACCTGTATCAATAACTTTCTGTAACTGTTTATTCTAATCAAAAAATAATGTAAAAGAATGTTTTTTTTTCAACTATAGCATACAAACATTCCGCAATAAGGCTTTTCATGAAGAAAAACCCGTAGATTTTGCTTCTGTTTGGTATATGGTAGTTTGACATGCTTTTAAACGCTCATATATTAGATGAATGTCAAACATCTTGGCATTCAATGATAATTTTTTCATTTATTAACGGTATATACAAAAGATAATTTGATTAAAATTTTGAAATAGAGTTTTACAGCTCTTTTTATGAAAGTAACAGGAAGGACATTAAAGTTTAAATGACTAAGATAAAATATCAATATTTTTTAAAAGAAATATTTTCTTTTATGCAATGCAGTGGATTTTAGTAGTTTATTACTATATTATTCCAATAAAGTTGAAAAAATCATAGCAAAACCACTTTCATTTTTCAAAAATATGTCATTCAAAAAGTGGACTTTTTTGAAAATGGCCCTTTAAATATAACACTAATGAAAGGAATGCGTATCTATAAAGTTCTGTATAAATACAGGTACGGGGTCAACAGGTCATAAATGTGCGTATGGATAATCGTTTGACGTAATTTCTCAGTGACGTCATAAAGGGTCGACGAGCCTTCAGTGGATTACATACTTGCCGTTGAGTTTGAAAAATAATGCATTTCACACGCTAAAAGTCACAATCAGGCAAATCTAAAGTATAAATAAGTCACAAATGTAAATATAAGTAATACGTCATCATTTTAAAACATCTATCGGGCTATAAATACGGATTGGTACGAGATTAAATTTCGGGCTTTATGGAATTTGGAATTTAATCTCGTGACCAACCCGTATTTATATCACGATAGATGTTTAAAAATGATACCTTATTTCTTAAGTAAACTCATGCGAATTAAAATTATATCTCTACAATACGGCTTTACGGTAAGGCTATTTTGACGTCATTTGTAATTCACGTCATGTGTGTCCATCTGACAAAATAATCATAGTGATTGTATACGATTTAGTGATTAACATAATTTTCCTTTATTTTTCAACCAAAAATAGAAAGATACCTAAATCTAACAGTAACTACTTAAATGTGCCTGTGACTGGTATAACGCATGCGTCAAAATTTAATTCGAATTAGCTTCGCTTAGCGTTCACACGGAGCTAATGCGAAGTTTTTAAGTTTGGTGTTAGAATCTACACTACCCCCAGGATGCTTCAACATAAGTTTCAGCTTTTCTGGCCCAGTGGTTCTTTAGAAGAAAATTTTCCTATATTTTTCTATGAAAATCTTTGATTCCCTTTTGTGGCCCCGCCCAGCCCCCGGGATAATGATTTGAAGTATTTAAAAGAATCCACATTACTTCAGAATACTTCCACATAAGTTTCAGATTTTTTGGCCCAGTGGTTCTTGAGAAGAAGATTTTTAAAGATTTTTTCCTAATTATATCTATGTAAAATTTTGATTCCTATTGTGGCCTCGCCCAACCCCCGAGGATCATGATTTGAACAATTTAGAATCTACGCCCCCCCCCCCCCACCAAGATGCTTCCACATAAGTTTCAGCTTCTCTGGCCCAGTGGTTCTTTAGAAGAAGATTTTTAATGACCCTAACCTATTTTTGTCTTTTCTTGATTATCTCCCCTTGTGAGAGGACATGGCCCTTCATTTTCAAAATTTAAATTCCTCTTTACCCAAGGATGCTTTGTACAGAGTGCACCAAGTTTGGTTAAAATTGGCTCGGTGATTCTTGAGAAGAAGTCGAAAATGTGAAAAGTTTACAGACGGACAGCTAGACGGACGGACGACGGACAAAATGTGATCAGAAAAGCTCACTTGAGCTAAAAAACGTAGGAAGTCAAACGTATACTCACATCTTTCCTACACAAGTACATGGAACACAAAGAACATGGGCAAATCAGAAGAATGGATGCAGCCAAACCTAGAATAGCGAAAAATGGACCCTCTCGGAGGATGATTCCAAAACCAGCAAAAATGATTACAGTTAACAGAATCATTGCAAATACAAGAAGAAAGCGCCATTTGGAAGCAAACGAAGGGTAATTCCGGAAAAGTGTTCTTGAATTCAACTCATCTATAATGACGTTGAAATGGTTAGCACTCTGAAATAAAGAAAAAAAACCTACTTTTTAAAGTGTCTGTATATAGTAAAAATTGGCTGTCAACAATTTTAATTCATGGTAAAAATAGGTCAAATTCGAACGTTACGGTGCCTAGCTAGTTCTTAAACATGCTCACGTTATTTGGTCCTGAATTAATCAATTACTTAACGACGTTGGATCCTGGTATGTAAAGTCTTAAACTTTTTTTTGCCAAGTACAGTTGTATATTTTAATTTCTACATACATACATGTAGCTTAATTAAAATTCAGATAAAAAAATTGGGTTCAATATGATTCCTTTGGCGCTACAGTACATTTAAATAAGACCTTTTTGTACTGATATTTGTGTCATATTTAAAAATATTAATGACAACTTTGACATTTTCCCTCCAATATATTTATCAAAATAAAGCATGGAACAAAATGAACTCTATGTCTTTTTAAAAAAGACACTTCAAAATTGTGACTAAGTAAAAAGTTTCAAGTTGCTTCGCATAATCAATTATTTGACCTTTCTGCACTAATAAAATGTGATTTTTTGGCATTGAAAAATTTAATATTTAGCAAGAAAATTTTAGTCTTTTTTCTGAATTAAAGCAAATAGGTCAAAGATATCTTAAATATACAGAATTTTTAGGCGGAAGCCGCCTATTACAGCCGCCTATTACAATTGCTCTAGTGACCTTTTACCTCTCAAGATGTCAAAGGTCATTTTTGCCCCTTTTCATGGTACTCCAAACGGATGTATCTTAAAATAAGGGCATACAACCCGCTAACCATTATTCGACACTTTTCCCGATCTTTATTGTTTTTATCATATCAAAAGCATGTATTATGACTGAATTTATTTTAATAAATAAAATTTAAAATTCCAAATAAAAATAATAGCCTAATAACTAACTTATAGTCACTTAAGTTCTCCTGATACGTTTCACACTGGAGAGTGGAACTAACGTCATCTCTGTATGACTGTTTGAAACAAAACAAATGGGGTTCAACATCACGGGGTCCTGAAGCGATGCACTCGGAGTTCCTCGAATGACTCGTACCTCGCACATAACCTCGGACGTCAACGGTGATCTACCATCTTGCTGATTCAGTCATTTGATTTGAATTTCTTTCAAATGACATACATTTGAAATCGAAATTATTTTGTGGCACACTCCACAGTTTTTTCTTGCTTTCAAAGCCTAATAACATTAATCAAAACCTGTTTACGATAAAGAATTGCACAATTTAAGAAACATTTTCGAAGAACGTTTTGCAGAGCGAAATATGAAATGAGTGATAAAGCAGTTTCCGGCGGAGAAATGTAAGGATCTGATGCGTATTCCTCCAATAATCAAATCCGAGGTTTGAATATAGCGTAGCGGAGTCAACCGAGGATTGCCGATTGGAAACGATGTTTAGAAATATTACGAGGAACAAAATTGTTCAAGTAGGTATTATTATATTTAAGAATTAATGACAGGTACACAGCTACTGATGAACTAATCTTTCAAATAATCTATTGGAAATTAGAAGAAAATAGGTATGTACTTCCTTTTGTCAATTGTTTATTTATACTTCATTGTACTTATGTACTACTTTCGCGTACATGTAGTAATCTAACATGAGACGATTCAGCGTAAAATTATTGTAAACAAACCCACGTGGAGTACAAATGATTTACAATGGAAGTGATAGGCTTCTTTTACAAATTAGCAAGGTAACTCACTTTGTCTGATTAGCTTATCTTTCATTGTGACCTTTATCTTTATTATTTTAACTTAAAAATGTTGCCTCCCTACGCAGACATGCTTTAATTAAATATCGTAACATGATACCTGTTTTGGTCGGTCTTGATCGAACGAACTGGTACTGTATCTGTGTATAATTTCATGCATGCGTTGGAAAAATTATTTGAGGAATTATCATGCCGAGTCTGTGTATACATTTATAATATCCTTTTCATTTAATGTAAATATGTTGAAGGATGGACCAAATTAAGCTATAAAAATTGGACAGTCTCAAAGACACAAGCATATAAGAACTATTTTAGCCTGTATAGATGTGTCCATACGGAGGCAGCTAACAGAAAGCGGGGTAATTAACATTGCATGGTGAATTTGTAGAAATTTCGCTCTGTACGTGTCATCTCCAAATAGCAGAAGAAAACTCAACTCAGCACAACAGCGGATACACTATTCCCGTGATTCTGAAGGTGAGTACATGTATATTTAAATCACTTTATTTTATTTCAAGTGCGAAAAATCTGTCATAAGTTATGATACATATATGTTTGATAGCATAACGAATGTTCTTGTTCTAATGGCAAAATGAACCGAATATTTTTGGAAGTATAATTTGACATTTTGTATTTTTGTTAAATTGACTTATTTTTTTTTTCAATTTTTTAAATACACCAAAGTAACTTTCATATTTTATCAGTCCACAGGGTCCATATCTTGTATATTTCTTATATACATTTAATATGTTTTCTTGCAACTGCATGAATACGAACAAAAGTAGGCTTTTCAGAGAGAGAGAGAAATACAGGAAATTATTAGGGAAGTCAAATCGGTCATAATTAATAATCGGTTATTCGGACTTTTCCCCGATTGAATACTCGGTTACTGACGGAAATTATCTGTTAGTACTTAACAAAAACAAAACAAAAAAAAAAAATGCACAATTAATACAGCCAAAATTACAAAAGGTTGTTTTAGATCTATTTGATCGATGCAAAAGGAGGACATACTACATGTAGCGGCATTTCAATGAATGTCATATTTCATTGTTGTGTACTGCAAATACTTCAATCATTATGATGTTTACTGAAAACGACTCTGTGCCTGCTAATGGGTCAATAATTGCTGTATATTCAAAGCTACATATGGAGGCGACAAAGGGTGTTTTACAGCTAAGTGTAGATGAATACATGCTAATTACCGTTTGCATATTTAAGTTAGTATTGATAAGTTTTGATAAAAATATTTACTTTGAAATAAGAAATAATTTAATATACATCTGAGTAACCGAGTATCTATTCTACGTATTCAATACTTGGACGTTGGATCGAGTACCCGGTTAAGTTGACGTCCCTAGAAATTATAATTATTAAATATATCATAAAGGGTTATTTGAAGTCCCTGGTTTCATTTACTGAAAGTCTGATAAACTGTAAAGGAATATCCGATAAATAAAATTATGAGATATTTTTTTCACTTATACACTTTGTAGAAAATTCTAACAAGAGTTTTCAGAAGAATGGTACATGTATAGACAATCTCTAGAAAAGAAAACACTACTAATATTAGGATGCAAGTATAGTACCAATATTTTACAATCCCGAAAGACAAATTTACTACAGGAATAAAAAAATAAATATTTCTGGCGTTCAAGGGTCTGCCATGGTAGGAGCTCTCCTGAAAAAAATATCCATTTATTGTGGACGTCATGACACAGGATTCACCTGTCATCAGCATTGGAGACTTGTGATTTGTTCTACCTGGATCATACATGCATTGAATCAAAAAAATTTATAGAACCACAACCATATTGAAAATCTATGAATTTGCTGTATAACAAGATTTTGTTATACATGTAACCCCTCCCCGCTTGAAAAGTTGGAGTGTATACTGTAATCGGTATGTCCATCCGTCCGTCTGTTACGCTTTGGGGTACCCAACTCTAATACTCAACTCCTCTGATACCACTGAGTGAAATTTAATGAAACTTTCACAGAATCTTTATTACAGTTTGCCATTGTGCACCTCCTATTTTACTTTTTGATCCGACACATATTTTGGGTTTCCTGGTCACTTCAAAAAATGGACTTTGCCATTATAACCATATGGGAGACGAGTGGTATTATTTAGTGAGCTCATTACTCACAGTACCTCTAGTTTCATTGGTACTGAGTCAACTTAATATACAGAAAAAAAAATCAAAAGCAGTAGTGATGTTTATTGTTTTCTAGTACTCATTATAGTACTCATTTTGTATAAAATTTTATTATTATTTATTTCTTGTACTCAAAAACCATATCTTACAAGTTTGCATAATCAAGTGTATAATTGCAACTTGCATTTCAATTTTAACTTGTTATACTTTACAAAAATAAATGTTAAAAATGTTCATATTTCTATTCAATGCACTTCACCTATTCTCAGGTCTCTTCTTCTAATGGTAGATATATTGTTTATTCTTGTTCTTTGGTTTCAATACTACGTACAATCCATCAAAATATTTATCCCCTCCCCTAAGACAGATTATTCTTCAAATGTATGTCATTAAAGTTTTACATATGAACACTTGCAATCATGCTTCCGCCTATCAGTACTCTCAGTACTTTGATATAGATAAAGGACTGGACCAAAATACGCTCAAAAGCTCGGGATCGAACGTCCATGGGCCACATCCCTCACCTGAACACTGTTGCTAGGGAAAAAGCAGAAATCAGTTGATTATTGAAAAATTTAAACCCAAACGTGGACCCAACCAATCCTTAAACGGAAGAGGGTATGATATGAACCAATATGAATCTACACTAAGGATGCTTGCATATTTCTTTGACTACCTGTGGCTTTATTGCCCTTTTTATTTGAACTTACATTGTGCCCCCCCTCGTCTAAAATATGAGCAATCAGGCTTTGCTGTCCTTCAACAATAATTGATTCTGTAATATTCCTATGTAAAACTTTGATTGGCCAATGTGCCCGGCCCTATCTCGGGGGTCATGATTTGAACGAATATGTACACTACCTGAGAATGCTTCAGTATAAATATATATGATAAATCATGGCCTTGTTGCTCTTGAGAAGAGGATTTTTAGAGAATTTTCTATATATTTCTATTTAAAACTTTGATCGTCCATTGTGGGCCCGCCCTACCACCGGGATTCATGATTTGAATAAACTTGAATCTAAACTACCTGAGGATGTTTCCATATGAATCGGATTAATCATGGCTTTGCTATTCTTGAAAAGAAGATTTTTAAAGAATTTTTCTATATATCTCAATGTAAAACTTTGATCGGCCATTGTGGCCCCCCGACCCCGGGGGTCATGATTTGAACAAACTTTAATCTACACTACCTGAGGATGCTTCCATGTCAATATGATTAACCATGGCTTTGCTACTCTTGAGAAGAAGATTTTTAAAGAAAATTTCATATATATATATATATATATATATATATATATATATATATATATATATATATATATATATATATATATATATATATATATATATATATATATATATATATATATATATATATAATCCAAATTATATGCGGGCTCATCAGTAGATTTGAAATTCAAATTTCAAATCTACTGATGAGCCCGCATGGGGCGAAAGCGCTTTAGATAAAAGTTTGAGTTTATCATTTGAATTTGGATTTTATTTTATCCCTATACCAAGGAAAAATAATTTTTTGAATATATATATATATATATATATATATATATATATATATATATATATATATATATATATATATATATATATATATATATATATATATATATGTAAAACTTTTATCAGCTATTGTGGCCCCGCCCTACCCCAGAGGTCATGATTTGAACTGAGTTAAATCTATACTACCCGAGGATGCCTCTGTATAAATATAATATGACCAATCATGGCTTTGCTGTTCTTGAGAAGAATATTTTTTGAAGAATTTTCCTATATATTTCTATGTAAAACTTTGATCGTTCACTGTTGCACCGCCCTACCCCCGAGGGTCATGATTTGAAGAAATTGGAATCTACACTTCCTGAGGTTGTTTTCCCATACGTTTCTTCTTTCCTGGCACAGTGGTTCTTGAGAAGAAGAATTTTAAAACATGCAATCAAATTTTCACTATTTCTGAATGACCTGTCACAACGCATTTTGAAAAATTACGCACTTTGAACAAAATGTTCAAAGTGCGTTAAATTTGGGACCAAATTAACGCACTTTGAAAAAATAAAATTTCTTTCAAAGTGCGTTAATATCGATCATATTAATGCACTTTGAAAAATTTGTGTGGCCTGGTCAATTCTTTTGCAAATCTTAGGTATAGGGAAGATAAATAATTGAATCTGTTTGATTTTGATATGATAATAACGATTGAGATTGGGAATAGTGTCGAATAATGATTAGCGGGTTGTATGCCCTTAGTTTAAGATACATCCGTTTGGAGTACCATGAAAAAGGGCAAAAATGACCTTTGACATCTTGAGAGGTAAAAGGTCATCAAAACAATTGTAAAAGGCGGCTTCCGCCTAAAGAGTTGGGCTGAGAGCCCTTCTACTCGTCTTCTCCTTGTTCCCAGTGATCAAGGTTAAACGAGTACATGTAAATTTAAACTTTTTTCGAAAGATATAATTAATACAAAAATTAATAAAAAAAAGATTCTCTCAATTACTAAAATCTAAGTCTAGAGTTTTTTGTTAAAATACATATTTTTTCAAAGTGCGTTAGATGTCCCAAGGTAAAAAATATTGATGTACACTCTTCACGCACTTTGAAAAGAAATTAAAGTGCGTTGAGTGTGTCCAAAATTTAACACACTTTGAATTTTTTTTCAAAATGCGTTTATTTTGTGCCAAATTTAACGCACTTTGAAAAAATTTTCAATGTGCATAATTTTTTCAAAGTGCGCTTCCACAATTACCTCCCTTTATTGAGAACATGATCCTTCAATTGAACAAACTTGAATTCCCTGTGCCCAGTGGATCTAGGGAAGAAGTCGAAAATGTTAAAAGTTTACAGGCAGACAGACAGACGGACGTCAGATAAAATGTGTTCAGAAAAGCTCACTTGAGCTTTCAGCTCAGGTGAGCTAAAAATTGAAATGACATCATTCCGTCAAAATATATTCTATTGAAACAGAATAGAATGCAAACTCATCAATTGCATGGTAAAATCACATACAAAAAAATCAGCCCAATTCTAATATGTACTTTTACATCTTCGCTAGCCAAGGGTTTTCGTTCCGCACCGCTCCCCATATGCAAGCGAAGACCAGAAACCTTTGGCTAGCTACCATTTAAGAATAGAGGGCAGAATACCAAATCAGGCAAATTGTACTGAACGAATACAAACACAAACAGACGAGAAGGAAATCATAGTCCCTTCTGGTTTCGACGATAGAGGCTAATAAATCCACCCTGTAAATACAAAGATAACAAAGTAACGATTTCTTTGGTAAAACATTGAATGGTGCTATTACCTCTATAGTACTGAGATCAAGAGAAGCGATTTTCTCTTTTTCGTGATCTTCCAGTGGATAAAATCTATAAGAGTTGCCATGGTCCAAAAATTTTGCTTTTGAGGCAAACTTCTGACAAAGAAAAGTTCCATTATATGTGTTTCGGGTAACATTATCCACTGCAATTAAAAAAATCTTGTAATTTATTTCAAAAACACAATTTTTTTTTTCATGTACTGATCATAAGAGCATGGAATGTAAAACATATGCAGATTGATAATTAATTTATTAAACTACTATGCATCATATACATTTTTATCACTTAAAAAATCCTTTTTATTGCTGCATCAACAAATTAAAACTCACCATTCCTTTTTTTATGTAAAGGATCACTCGAACCTGTAGAAAAGTACATTTATTTTAACTTTTGAGAAGACCCTTGATGGTTTTGTAGACTTGGAAATTATACAAATACTTTGTGTCTTAAAAAAGAAAATGTATCTTTATAGCTGCATGCAGAACTGTAGCGTTATCATAATGGTTTTATATATCAGTCTTTGACCATAACGTTATTCTCAAAAACTTAATTTAAATATAAAACTGTAACGCTACAGTTCTGCAACTTGTATTTTATGAACTGATATGAGATAGGGTGTAAAAGATATTTTTAAAAAAATCTATGCTTTACCTTTGCTTTGGCTCCAAAACTCGACATTAATTTCTTTTAAATTTCATTGTTTACATATATTACAGGAGGGATAAAAAACGAAGAAAAATTATGTGCATACAAAAGTATCTAATACAGTGTAATAACTTAATAAATGATATACATGTATAATGCTTTTTTGCAAATTCTGATACTAGTGATAGTGAACATATCTATATATTAAAACTTAAAAAAAAACAAAGTCCCCCAAAAAGAAAGAAAGAAATACCTGGATTTAGATAAGCCTCGTATATTTTTGCAGGTACATCAAACTCTCTCTGTGCGTCAATGTACACGAGTGACTTCAAAAAGGGAGGAACATTTAAATCTTCTGCCAAAGGCCGAAGAAGTAACGGAATCACATTAACATCGGGACCCGTGAAGGACAATTGAGCTGCTTCACGTGCTTCAGTCACGCACCAGTGACTCTGTAAATAGTTTGGACTCAAAATTATAAGAACTTTGACACTTTTACGCATATTGTCTGCAATGTTGTCGTCAATATTTTTCCCAGGCACGAAATCCCGTTCAAAGTTCATACATTTCATTTGAAACCTCTGCTCCATACACCCACAGATTTCGTTTGCATCATCTCGATCCTCTGAACTGTAAGATATAAATAAATGGTACTTTTTGTCCGGCTGTAACGGTAAAACTTGAACGTCACTGTGTTCGTCATCCTGTAGAGAATTCTGTGAATCCTCAGATTCAGTGCAACTCAAATTTTCCTCTCGATCCAGAAGTGATGTATGAGTAAACCGTTTGTTTTCAAATTCACTATCACATATATCACTACAGATGTTGTTCGAAAGAAGAGGCAATCTGTCTGCTGCCATCTTTCTAAGTTCCAGTAATATGATTTCTTTGTCTACTTTTGGTTTCATTTCTGAAGAATCTGGACTCAAGATAGTGTCATCTTACACGAGGTTTGTTGCTTTGTCCTATTAAGGTTCTTCATTTTATATATATGTTTAAGTTCATTTAAAATTGTCTTTTTAACTTTACTTTGGGTAAAAAGTCTTATTTTTTTCTTTACATATTTCTACAGAAATTTATACGAGAAAGTGTATGATTAAATTCAATAATTACGTTATAAACAGAGCACCATACAATAATAGATCGAAGTTGTGCAGCACAAGTTATGAGCCATTTAGTTTCATTGTTCTGTATATCCAGTTATTTATTGCCTTTCATGCAAGTAAGTATAATTTAATATGTGATAGACTGTCTTTGGCTGTTTTGTACAAATTTGACTTTATCATAAAATGAAATGCTATTTTTAGATGAAAATGTTAACGGCAAGCCGAAAATAGATTGGAATTTACGCAAGCTATTTCTGGCTATAGTCAACCTGCACTGCAAGAAATGCTATTTTTTAAATGGATTGTTACATCCTGTCAAATTCATATTTGTTGAAATTTTCCAAGAAAAAATATTCCCGCCTGCCTATACCGAGCAAGTTTTTTTTTTCCCTGAGTCGAGAGAGGGCAAACAAACATTATGTTCTTTATTTACTAGGTTAAACAAACATAAATTATTTGTCAAGAAAAACTCAAACACCAATGTATAGGATGAGCTCGCATGCGAGAGTGCAACAGCTGTGAATTTATTTGATAATCATTATAACATAAATTACTCTTCGTCACATACATCATCCCATTCTACAAAAAAAAGACATTCATAAAAATAAACCACTGATACAAATATACCTGGGGAGGGGCGAGTGTCTGCTGCACCAATCGGCAATCCTCCACTACGCTCCATTCAACCCTCGGACCTATCAACCTATTCACTCATTTATTTCTCTTCAAAACCATATACATGTTACAAGAGGTACATATTAACATATTTACAATAATTCTAAAAGATCTCATTTTACGCCCTGCCTTCGAAAATGTTTTAGTTCACCTGAGCGGAAGGCTTATGTAAGCTTTTCTGATCAAAATCTGTCCGTTGTCTGTCGTTGTCGTCATCGTCGTTGTCGTCGTTGTTGTAAACTTATCACATTTTCATCTTCTTCTCAAGAACCACTCGGTCAATTTCAATCAAACTTGGCACAAAGTATTTTTGGGTAAAGGGGATTTAAGTTTGTTCAAATGAAGGGCCACACCCTCTTCCAAGGGGAGATAATTGTGAATTAGTAAAAAATTAATTGCATCTTTTGAAAATCTTCTTCTCAAGAACCAACTGACTAGGAAAGAGGAAACTCATGTGGAAACATCCTTATGTAGTGTAGATTCAAGTTTGTTCAAGGCATGACCTCCGGGAGTAGGATGGGGCCACAATGGGGTATTAAACTTTTACATAGGAATACATAGGAAAAATCTTTTAAAATCGTTTTCTAAAGAACCACTGGGCAAGGAAAGATGAAACTCACGTGGAAGCATACTCTGGTAGTGTAGAATTAAATTTGTTCAAATCATAACCTCCAAGGGTGTCTCAATGGTGGATCAAAATTTTACATAGGAAAATAAAGGGAAAAATCTCAATAACAGAAAAGCTATATTAAGTCATATTGACATGTAAGCATCCTCATGTATTGAAGATTTAAATTTGTGCACATCATGAGTACCCTTTAGGGGTAGGGAGGGAAACAATGGGGAGTCAAATTCAAATTATTACATAGTAATATATACAAACAAAATTTTAAAAACTCTATTAAAATCTTTTTCTCAAGAACTTTCTCAAGAAGATATATGGAGAATTGATACGGAGGCATTCGCAAGTAGTATTAGAAATCAAGCCCCCTCCCCCACCCCAACCCATCCCCTCAGTAAACTTTTCAATTCTGATCTGATTTGTGCTTTTTCCTAGCCGATGTGCTCAGGTGAGCGATGTGGCCTCTGGCCTCTTGTCGAAAGTGCTGGAAATGAGGTATCTCTAATTCATAATAAAAGGTATGATACTTGTTCTGCATCGTTTTTCGATGAGCCTAAGAAAATCACTTTCACATGCTGTTCAAACTTTTTTCCATGGTTCGGGCATATTCAAAAATTTTCAAGTTCATGTTTGATGGGGGAATGCTGTATCATTCCTCGTGCATTTATACAGTCAATTTAAACTATTCACGAATATAAGCTCAATATCCAAATAATATACAAAACCATGCACGGGACGCTAGCTTGCTTCTCCGTCTGGCTTTAATGTTTACTTGATTAGGCGAGAGTAGACTAGCTTTTGATTGGTATCGTCTATCAGGTAAAGATTCCCTCTAAACACAAGCAATTTTCTTAGAATTAGAAATTTTGTATATGAGAAAAAATTCACAGCGTATCACGAGCTGGTAAACCATATTTGACATTGTTCTTAGCATAACAAAGAGTGAATATGACACTTATTGATTTCAAAAGGTTATTTTTTAACAGAATGACATATTAATTTAAATCTGTTTAACAAAGGGACAAGATGTAAGATGCCTTCCTACAGAAGTTATTGTTCGAGAGGGAAACGACTTGGAATGGCATCATACATGTAACAGATTGTGTCCAGCAAACCTATATTTGTACAGAAAACAATGCTACAACACCTGTCCATCGCACACTGTTGCTAGATATAATGGATTCATCAAGTACTGTGTCAGTGATATGGATCTAGAACAATTCCATTGTCCCAAGTTTATTTGCCAAAAGGAATACCCATATTGTTTCGACGGAAATTGTCTTGATTCATGCCCTGAATACACCATCGGATACACCAACTCATGTGTGATGACATGTCCGTCTGAAGCAAAGTATATCACGGCAGTTTCTTGTGAAGGGGTCTGTTATTCAGGATACAAGTTTTGCTCATCGGAGTGCCCGGTTTCTCACCCATTTCAGTTCCGTTTAAATCATTATTATCACTGTTTAAAAGAGTGTCCTTCTTTTACCATGCAGAATTCCACCAAATGTGAATTGTCGTGCCCCGATGATCGACCTTTGCTTTTCAATAAAACATGTAGGTCAACGTGTCCTCTTTCAAGTCCTTTTACTTCTCTCAAAACTTCAGTATTCAATAAAATTTATGTGTGTTCCGAACGTTGCGATGATATGATGGCCTCTTATAGAAATGTTTGCGTTTCTGTTTGTCCAAGCAAGTCGCCGATGGAATATCATGGAAAATGTGTAGAAACATGCCTGAAAGACCGTCCTTTTATTAACACTACACCAGCAAAAAAAGCATCTATATATTATCAGCAGTGTGTTGCGAAGTGTCCACCCGATAAATTTCTATGGCTGAAAAATAAGAAATGTGTGACTGATTGTCCAGCAAAATCACCGCTTGAATATCGCGGAAAATGTGTAGAAGCGTGTCAGAAAGATCGTCCTTTTATTAATACAGAAGAAATGACCTCAAAGTATCATCAACAATGTGTTTCGAAATGCCCGCCTGATAAACTTGCATGGATAAAGAATAAAAGATGTGTGAATAACTGTCTTACCAACACTTTACTATTCAATAAAACCTGTGTCGAAGTATGTCCACAAACATTTCCTTTAAACTACACAAAGGTAGAGCATGGAAAACGGGAACATATTTGTGTAAAAAAGTGTCCAGGAAATGCTTATCAATACAAATATTTCTGCTTTGATCAATGTCCATCTTATCTGAAATATTTCCTGTCAAACTGTACATTAGAATGTCCAAAAACATACCCGTACATTCATATTGACAATGTCACTTGTGTTCAATCATGCCCAGATCATTACGTTTATAATGGGAAAAGGTGTGCTGAAAAATGTCCGAGGGAGCACTTCTACATCGAAAACAAACAGTGTGTTAACGTGTGTTCAAATATATCGGCGCTTCAAAGACAAACAAACCAAGGAATAGTGTGCTTGAATTCCTTTTTTTGCCCTATTGATACAGTCCTAATGGAAAACACGACTCAATGTTATGGAAGGTGTCCTGAGAGCTTGTTGATAATAAACAATATTTGTACACACGGCATTTCATGTCCAAACAATACCTATAAAGAGAATTTTTCATTGGGAACAATGTGTACTAAGAAATGTTCCGAAAAATTATATATGGACGTTAACCGATGTGTAAAAAATTGTCCTTCCTCTAAAGTGATAGTAGGACACAGATGTAGTAATGATTGCCCAAAGTCCAAACCATATCGATTGATAGATACTAAACATTTTGTTAGTCTTCTGAAATTTCAGACCTTTTGTGTGTCTGTCTGTCCGAATGATTACGTCATTTATCAGAAAAAATGTATCTCAGGGAAAGGCTGTTCGCAAATGGATCGTTACGTATATGACGGTCGATGTTATGATGTTTGTCCAAAACTCACCTCTCCGAATATAGGGAATACTTGGTACATGTGTGTGGATCAACAATCTAATTTCTATGGTGGTATAACATTGATTTGTTTTGGTATTTCGGGATTTCTTGCATTCATTTGCATCTTTTGCTGCTATAAAGGCCGACTTAAACATCAAAGATATTCATCTCAAGAAGATGAGGTGAGTACTTTTACTATATTTAGAAAAAAATAATTATTATAGTTTTTGCACACCTGACAAAGGAAAAAGAGAAACAAAAATAACTAGCACTATGTTAAACTACCAAACACTTAATTTAAGGGATGAGGCGTATTTCAACTTTTGTTATACGATATAAAATAACATAAGACAGTTTACGCTCTAAGCGTAAACTGCTCCAAATGATTTTGTATCGTATAACATAAGTTGAAATAAGCTTAACTCCTTATATTTAATTTCAGTGTAGATCATAAGACAATTTTTCCTCAGGAAAAAGCTTCAAATTTAGCATATTTTAAAAGTAACATCAAGCGGAGTAATACGTTTTTGACGAAACTCTATGTGACGCAGGCAAGTCATGTTAAACAAAATGGATTAAATCTTTTACCCAATTAAATGACGTATTACAACTAAAATTAAGTTATATTTACGTATTTCAAATAATATATGATGGGCGTTGTTTTTGGGTATCGTTGTTTGAGGATGTCTAATTTCTACTTTAAAGAAAATATAACAAAATTAGTCGCAGAGGGCAAGCATAAGTGAGCGCACATAATTACATCTACGTGTAGTTGATCTTGATGTGCTATTACACATACCAATTACATTGTATATTTGTTTTTCTTCTAGGACGAATCACGAACCTTTATTGAAGATATTGAGATAAGACCAGGATAGCATATTTTATTGTTCATTTTTTGTATAATAAGGTTTCTTTTTTAAGTTTTAATATACAGCCGTATTTACTGTACATGGAAAGAAAATAAATCAATTTATATATTACTCAATTGGTGTTTGTTTTTCTTTCAACATGTTCAAACCTTAACATATATTTAAAATAGTTTTGCAGCAACGTAAATTATTGTGATGTTTAACATATTTAAAATAGTTTTGCAGCAACGTTAATTATTGTAATTTTGATATGTCAACAGTGTGAAATTTATAATTATGTTTTTAATAAGACATAATTTAAATTTTTACTTCTGAAATAAGAAATATTATCATTACTTCGAAATACTTCTATCTCTGGAAAACACATTAATGCAAAACAAACAAAATACACTACAGACATAACATTATGAGGCGGCTGTGTAACGTTATGGTGAGAGAGTTCACTATAGAATAGAAGAGCAAGGAGAAGATCCTTACACCGTAGAAACTCAAGTGATTTGCCGTAACTAAAAGCCTGTCCTTTGCATGCGACCATATTAACCAATGTCCCTTGATGCAAAAAATGCTGACAAAAAAGATCCCTCACTACGGCTCAATGGCAGTCAAATATAAAAAGACCATTTCTTCACCTCCTTTCATTGAGTTTTGACGGTCCTCATTTAAAATGTGGATATATCGTTCTATTTCTGTCAGTTTTTGTGCTAATCAGTGTTGCTTTTTCTGTAAATTCTATAGTTTTAAATCAAAATTTGCAAGAATATAGTTTAACAAGGCCGAGTCTAATTCGAGTGCGAATGACTTTACACAGCATTTTATATTTTACGCAGTCATAAGTGCAACAGTACACCTTTCCCAAATATTGTGATTTTAAAATAAAATAAACATCTGTAAGTTTCCTGGTCTGAAAATGAGAGTTTATGACAATAATTAGGGAAAAAAACGCTGAAATGGCTCTAACGACGTCACTGTTTTCCGATTTTGTAATGGTAAGCAGTGCACGACGCTGAAGAATGACACTTTGCTCGCTTATCTTTGTAGATGTCCATGGACATTATACTAAAAAAGTACGACAGGACATCAAAAGAAATATACTAGCAATCTTAATATTGTTATTTTTTACCCGTAAAAATTATCTGCGCGGATAATTCATCTGCAACGATATGTATTTATACCGCAATATGGCAATTTTAGAGGTATTGGTCATGGAAAAAAAATAAACTTTGTAATTAAGACCGAGACCAACCCAGATGGTGATTTTTTATTTAAATTTCACAATTAATTGACTTTTAATAATTACTTTCATCTACTTGACTGAAGAAGAAAACTCTAGGGCAGAAATACCAAAAAAATATGGGGAAAATGTGTAAGCATGTCAACGAGTACCCGGTTAATTGGGTACTTGATCAAACATCTGAGTATCGAATACTAAAATCGGTACTCGGTTCCTCAGATGTATAATTTTGAATATTTTTTAAGCTTAATTATTAATGCATTAAAACATCGGTTTTAAAACGTAAAATGTTCATAGGACTTGTACATACAGTAATAAGGGTTTCCTACGCCTCTAAATGACTGTCATCGCTTGTGGCAGTGTTTTTACAATACAATAATTATCGTCTTCTACCCTTATTTTTGGTTTGCTTTAATGATTTGTTTTCATTGAACATCGTTTAAGGTCAATTGTGTTTAAATAGATTAGACAATTTTGTCAGTTCTCCAAAAAGCCGTAAATTCTCGGAAAAAGAGATAGATGATATTACACGTGCGATTGTTGATATGGTTGATCAAGTTGACACTGTAGCTCTGACGACTGTGATACTTAATTGGACGTCAAACGCAAATTATAAGAGTTACATTACAATTATGGAGCAGATTATTTTTTTAAACAAAACATCGTGAACCATTTATGATTTGATTTCTTGTGTTTATCTGATAAATAAATTGAACTTTAAAAAAATGTTATATTAAATTTCGTAGGGCACGAAGTGCTTATAATTGTTACAACAGAAACACTAAGGGTAAACCTCCCATCAGAACATGTGGTTTTTATTTCTACAAGAGTTTATAATGTTTTACAGTTAACAACTTACTTGTTCTTATTTATACACTATTACCGAGTACCCGGGTACTCGATCGGAAAAACATCCGAGTAACCGAGCATTAAAAACTGACCGATTTGACATACCTAAAAATTTGATAATTTGGCGCTTTTCTAACAAATTTCCATACGTCCAAAAGTAAAATTTAAAATTTTTTTAGATGGACCCATAAAAAATCGGGGTGGTAAACATTTTATTTTTTAATCTTAAAATAATAAATGTAATAATAAAATTTAATTAACAAAAAATTATCAAAATCCTAATGGTAGAAATAATAAAACTTAACATATCAATAATTCATCAAAAAGTAGATTTTTTGAGAACTATACTGAAAGAAAAAAGAAATGAATGGTAAAGTCTTGAAGGAATTTGTAAGATTTATTATTTCCAACTTATTTTTCAGCATGTTTTCAAATATTTAAATTCTTCTATAATCAACAAGTTTTATTTTTTTGACTGATAATTCGTGAGTTATTGATACTCATATGATGGATTCACGGAACACCCAAAAATGGAAAAATACGCATCTGTAACATCCTTGATTCTCCATTGCATGGAGCTCATTTTATCTTTCTCAAATTAAAGAGATGTTATTCAACTCTTCCCACAGGGTACAAGTAGTCCTACGTTAGTAGGATCGAGTAATTCGAGCATTCTAAACCCTTTAAAACAACCATCTCCCTTATGCCTAGGTCACATTTACGTGGGTTATGTATTTTTTTTCTGCAACAGCAGCGACATTAATTTATAATAATAATAATAATAATAATAAAACTTTATTTAAAGAAGGTAACCTGGTTAGTGCATGCACTATTCTTCCCCAGGGCCCTCTCTATATATGTACATATATCAAATACAAAATATATACACTTCATCAAGATACAAATCATCATAATCACATACAATTAAGTACATGTTATATAGGTTTGAGAATTACAATCACTGAATTATGAATAGAGTGTTCAAATACAGACACATCTTAACAATAACAGTACAATATACGATATTGAACTCTTATTATGCTCAAATGATTGTACGACAGCTGATAATGTAATTTTCCACATTACGCTTGAATGTTCGTAGAGAATGAGAGAATCTAATGTGTTGGGGAAGTTTATTCCACAGATGTACACCTGAATACTGAAAAGAGGTCTTGAATAAGTTTGTACGAAATTTTGGTAATCTAAGATCATAATTAGTTTCGGATCGCAGGTTATAAGAAGTTGAAGACTGAAATTCAAATAAATTACGAAGATATTCGGGAGTCATTCCACTGAAAATTTTGTATAATAATATGTATTTGTATAGATCAACTAGTTCATAAACTGTTAACCACCCAAGTTTCTCAAACAGTGGTTTAGAAGAAGAATCAGGACTTGCATCAAGGATAATCCTTGCTGCCCTTTTCTGTAATTTAAATAGTCTGTCCATGTCCTGCTTGGGGGCATTACCCCAAACAGTCAAACAATAGTTAATAGATGGTAAAATATAAGCGTTGTAATAAAGTTTCCTGGTATGAAGAGGGAGAAATTTCTTAATCCTACGAAGCGTAAATAACTTATAATTAACTGTTTTACAAACTGAGTCAATATGATTTGCATACTGTAACTTATCATCAATATGTACACCAAGAATTTTTCCAGTTTCAACAATTTCAATTGTTTTGTCTGAGGCATAAAGTTGTAAATTTGGATTATCTAATTTTGATTTTCTTTGATGTGTTCCCATTAACATACATTTTGTTTTTTCTACATTTAAAACCATTTGATTTTGAGCACACCATTTTTCAATCTCACAAAGATCTGCATTTAGCGTATTTTCTAAACATCGTGCATTATGATTATTTGAATACAGAGTAACATCATCAGCAAACATATCAATATTTGAATTGTTTACATGTAATGGAAGGTCATTTATGTACAATAAAAATAAAAGAGGGCCCAGAATTGACCCTTGTGGCACTCCTGCTGTGACGGGTTGAATATTGGAGACACATGTTCCAAATTTAACACACTGGGTCCTGTCGTAAAGATATGACTTAAACCATTTTATA